TGTAACATAAGTACTATTAATAAATAAAAGAAATATTTACTCAGATGTTAACCAAAAGTTCGAATATTACTAAAATATCATACATTTTCTAAAAATTACTCATATGTTTTGAGCATTTGTGTAATTACAATTAACACCCTTCATTAGTTTTTTTTAATTAATAATTTTTAATTCGTTTTTAATTAAAAATAATAAATAAAAATTTGATTATACATGTCATTAATCCACATCACCAATCTCACACTCCTCAAACTCACGTTATTTCTCCTCTTCTATTTTTTGTCTCCAAATCCAAGAAAAACTTTTAGATCATTTCTCCTCTTCTCTTTTTTTTTGTCTCCAAATCCAAGAAAAGCTTTTAGATCTAATAATCTGCAACTAACTTGGGTACAACATTGACAAAGATCTTCAAATTGCAGGATTGGGCTGGATCTTCCTAGACCTCACAGCCACAACGCTTGCCATAGGGTCCCAAATCAAAAGCTTCGTCAGATCTACTCGCAACCACGCTCACGAAAAAAGTCATCAAAAATCAAAACCCAAAACAAAGAGATCTATGGAATTCTACATGATTCGTTACAGGTTTGAGTTGAAATCAAGAATAGCTACTCTTTTACTTTGATTTTACATGTCTCTCGTTTAATCTTCCTCTCAATCGATCTATTTGGAGACATTTCTACTTCTATCTATGTTTTGATTCATACGGTTTAGTCTTCCTCCTATGTATCCCTCAAACATATTTTTACGAATCTTAATTTGATTGTTGTTATTTGACCAATAAATTTCATATTGTCTTCTCCAAAAAAATGTTGCTTTCCGATCTGTATTATAAATCAGCCGTAAAGTGATGTAACTCAGCCGTAACGTGATGTAACTCAGCCGTAACATATAATTTACACAACCATTCGTCTTCCCTGAATGATAACTCAGCCGTGACATGTAATTTACCGAACCTTTCGTCTTCCCTGAAGCATATAACTCACCCGTAACATATAATTTACACCCATCTATCGTCTTCCCTGGAGAATATAACTCAGCCGTGACATGTAAATTTACCGAACCTTTCGTCTTCCCTTAAACATATAACTCAGCCGTAATGTAATTTTACCGAACCTTTCGTCTTCCCTGGAACATATAACTCAGCTGTGACATGTAAATTGACCGAACTTTTCGTCTTTCCTTAAGCATATAACTCAGCCGTAATGTAATTTTACTGAACCTTTCGTCTTCCCTGGAACATATAACTCAGCCGTGACATGTAAATTGACCGAACCTTTCGTTTTCCCTTAAGCATATAACTCAGCCGTGACATGTAAATTTGCAGCGAAACAATAAGAGACGCAACATTTCCTCTAACTTTATCATCGAGCACCAACTTCACAAGTTTTTCGTGCGTTGTTTTCGCATCTATCTGCACAACTCTACACCCTCTTTCATCGGTGTTAAATACGTATTTGTGTTTTTATACCCAATTACCGGAACCGGATCAACCATATCGGGAGAAGGATGAAAGAAATTGAAGAAGAATGAGGAAGACGATGAGGAATTGGAAGTTCCGGTGATGTGATAAACTCAGGTGAAGAAGACGAGTTGAAAAAATTTGGCCCTATTTTTTTGTCCTTTGATGATGATGACATGGAATGATGACATGGAATGTTGCATCCACGTCATTTTTTAATTGATGAAGTGGCAAGTAAGCCACCAAACGAAAATGTAAATCAGCTTAATTAAACCAGCCATCAAACAAAACTTTAACTCAGCCGCAACATGAATACTATTACAGTAATTAAAAAATGAAAAAACGGCAGCCAAATTCAGCCGTTTACTGTCGTAACTCAACCAAAAATGTTTAACTCAGTCGTGTCGTTTAATAAGTCGGCCGTCATTGCATGCTATTCTAGTAATTAATCTTTCGCTACTAAGTCAGCCATAATAAGGCCGAGTTTTCCGTTAATCCAGCTCATTACGGCTGATTTATGATACTCGAACATAAATCAGCCGTAACGTCATCCCATAACTAAGCCGTCTTTGATAACTCAGCCAGCCGGAGAAAGTTAAGTCAGCCGTGTCGAAGCAATAACTCAGCCAAAAATTTGACAAATCAACCATCGGGTGAAAACTCAGCCGTAACTTAGGCTGGGTTATGCTCGAAAGTCAGCCATTTTATCATAACTCAGATAGATTTCAGTAAGTCAGCCGTAACTCCAGGCTGGGTTATACTCGTAAGTCAGCCGTTTGCTCATAACTCAGCCATTTTTCTTAAATCAGCCGCAACATACCGTAACTCAGCCGTCACTGCCGCTATATCGCTCGACGGCTGAGTTCATTAATACACGTCAGCGATTTCTGACGTGGCGACGCGGCTTTGCTGACGTGGCAGTGGCATTCTTTGTAATTACGTTTTTTCCTGTAACGTTTAACAGGGGCACGCTGGGTATAAAAAATATACCCGAAATATGATAGTAATAAAAAAAAGATCTGTATGTTTCTGGTAATTTCATATAAAATGTATAACATCTGAGTAAATCTCCCTAAATAAAATTATAGTTTGTCACACACACAAGTTGAAATAGGATTGGTTTACCCATATCGGGGAACGAAATTTACAAAGAAAGTAACAACTTCCTAATTCTAACACTATGAGTTAAATACTCCCTATTTTAATCTAAATAACGTGAAAATAAGAGATGTAGAGAAAAGTTACTAAATCTCTCCCAAAGAAGTCCAAAGGCAATGGATTATATCGTTACAATATATATATATATAGATTATTCTATACTTTCATTAGTGAAATGCATGTGAACAAAGCTTTATTCCAATGTAAAGCATATATGAAAAAATTGTACTTTTCTTATATTGGAGAAACGAAAATCTTATTAATTCAAGCATATTTAAAACCCCTTACACTAGAATAAGGTATTAATCTCTTATACCCCTAATCACACTTAGTTTTTTTTCTTTAACTCAAATAATTAATTTGATTAAACAGAACGTTAGAGAACAGAGTCATGGAGGAAGTTGGAGGTTACTAAGAGTCAAAAACAGTGTGACGTCTATAAACAAACATTCAAAACCAAAACCCACACGCAAAAATCTTGTTGTTATTACGTATACGTGGCGCCAGATGAACAAACATTCAAAACAACATTTTAAGTTACTTAAGCTGTCTCTCGTTAATATAACTAAACCCTATAAGTTAGTAAGTTACTTATGATGTCACTTGTTAATAAGTAAACCAGCGTGCTCATAGTAATAAAACCGCCACATGTGATGCAACATCCATATAGATAAGTAAATCCTTTAGGCTTAACTCCAAGTAATCTCATATGATTTCTACAGTGATATAGCCATTTTTACGAAAGATTCGTATCCTTAGTTAGCTTTGTAGCTTTGTAAGTAACTAATGGCACGATTAGATGGTGAGTTAAGGTGCAATATAAGATGAGATGTCCAAAAAACGACAAAAACCTTGCCCAAAAAAAGAGAGAGACAAAGGAAAAGTTAAAGAAAGGCACCTTATGATTAAGACACTCGAACTTACACTAAAACACAAATCTAAAAAGCTTTAGATAAGATCCAAAGATGAATCCACCTTAGAGGCAGGCTTTAACCAAATTACTATGCATGGTGACATGGTGTAATACTGCAACTTACACGTCTTTTTGTATGTTTTCTTGCTATATACATATCGTTGTTACAAATGACTTAAATCAATAAAACTTAAAATTACATAATCAAATAATATATCATTAGTAGAAATGACAATCTTTAATATACTTCTTCTCATGCATGTTATCCACAAAAGCATCTGATATATAAATCTTGAACTTGCCTCTTTTTTTTTTGTGGGTAAAATATGAGTTGAGACGCTTTAAAACGTATAATATGTAGATTGAGTCATCCACTTTGAAAAAATATATTTGGAGATAAGATAGATAGGCATATATATTATGAAAGTTAAATCTGATTTGATCATTTAAACCTTTATTAATTTAAGATTTTGATCCAAGTATCGAAAGTTTTATAATAGGTCAAATTGTAAATTAGCATATATGCTCGATTTTGGGAAAACATTGTCTGATAAAAATAAAAAGTGGAGTGTGGAGACCACAATTCTTTTTGGGAACACTGCTCAATATTGCTACTGCGGCTAAGTGGCAAAGACCTACCCCTACTGTTTCTTTCCTCTTTTCATGCTTCTGGTGGACCCAAAAATAAGAGCCCATGGGCCCAAAACTTTTTCGAGATTCTCTTCTCTGTTCTCATCCCCAAGTCTAAATCATCTTCCATCGCAATTATTGGCGACTTAATAATCTCTATTCGTTAGCTAAAATACTAGTAGAGAATTTAACATAAGGCTGTGAAGTTTAAACTAAAACACGTTTTGATTTATATAGAACATATATATCAAATCGTCTAGTGAATGTGAATCTAAAACATATAACGTAAACCATAATTCATAAAAAGCCAGACTAAACTGAATCAGTGACTCATTACAACATCTCTATACATATATCAAAAAGGAATTGAATACGATCGAAAAGCGTATTTTGGATACTAAATCATTTGCATGATGGCCTATTAGCATAACATGCATTTTTAATTACCAAAAGTAAAAGTAAAAATAAAACGTGTAATGCGAGAATCGAGACAAGGGTAAAATTGGAAAGATTTCCGGACGCTTTCTGTGACCTGTCGGGGAGTAGATGTCTACACAAAACGTAACATGTGTATATTATATAGTTTCATACATGTATAAACAATTTATCAAATACCATTTTCTTAAATCAACATTTTGTAATAATTTGTGTTTAAACCCGCCAAAAGAGAAAGAAGTTACTTCTAATTACGGATTATAAGAATATAAAATTACGTAATACTTTCGTCCACTTTTGGAAAATACGATTCCAAGAAAAGAAGATTAAAGTAAAAAAAATAAAAATATCTCTCACACACCTTTTTATCATTTCTCTCCCAAATAAACCTCACAATTTGATCTCAACTTCAGAATTTTTTGTTTCCCATTTCTCTCAGAAAGTGTTTTTTTTTTTCTTGTTCTTTTTGTAATCACTAAATGCTTCAAAAGTTTGTCCACAATTATATTTTGAAAAATGTCTGAATCTGTAGCAGCAGAGCATGATTACATAGGTTTGTCAGAGTTTCCAACCATGGAAGCAACAACAATGTCTGACAAAACCAAAACCAGAGACAATAACAACGGTCTCAATTTCAAGGCTACCGAGTTGAGACTCGGTTTACCCGGTTCTGAGTCACCGGAGCGAGTCGACTCAAGATTCTTGGCTCTCAACAAGAGTAGCTGTCCCGTGTCGGGTGCCAAAAGGGTGTTCTCCGACGCCATTAACGAGTCTAACAAATGGATCTTCTCTACCGGATCCACTACTGCTACTGGTGATGTCGGGTCGGGTTCTGGTCCCGGTAGCTCCGTCGTCAAAGATGGAAAGTCGACAACTTTCCCTAAACCGGCTGTTCCGGTTAAGGAGAAGAAGAGCTCTGCAACAGCTCCAGCTTCAAAGTAAGCTTTTTCTTTGCTCTGTTTTAGTTCTTACTGAGATATTATAAAACATAAAAAAGCTTTGATGATAATTTTTATGAAGAAAGATTCTTGATGGGTTTTCTTTCATTGAACAGAGCACAAGTGGTGGGTTGGCCACCAATAAGATCATTCAGGAAGAACTCAATGGCTTCTTCTCAATCTCAGAAACCAGGTAATAACTCAGAGACTGAAGAAGCAGAAGCCAAGTCTGGACCAGAACAACCTTGCTTGTATGTCAAAGTGAGTATGGAAGGTGCTCCTTACTTGAGGAAAATCGATCTCAAGACTTACAAAAGCTACCTTGAGCTCTCTTCTGCTCTTGAGAAGATGTTCAGTTGCTTCACCATTGGTAACGTTTTCTATAGTCTCCTTCACTGAGATATAATACCTATGAGGCTATGACTAAGCTATAGTAGTGTAACTGTTTTCTTTTGGGTGTTTTTGGTTCTTTTTATCAGGTCAGTTTGGGTCTCATGGAGGGTGTGGGAGAGATGGGTTAAACGAGAGTCGCTTGACTGATCTCTTGCGTGGTTCTGAGTATGTTGTTACCTATGAAGATAAAGACAGTGACTGGATGCTGGTCGGTGATGTCCCTTGGGAGTAAGTCTTTGATTGCTAATTTTAAGAAACCTCTAAGATCAATCTCAACAGCTTGATTGTATACTATGACATCTAGTATTATATCATATCTAATGAAACTCTGTTACTGTTTCTTTCTCTGCAGTATGTTTATATGCTCCTGCAAGAAGTTGAGAATCATGAAGAGCTCTGAGGCTATCGGCTTAGGTTAGTATTTCTTTACTAAACCATAGTTTTATGCAGATCAATCTGTTCCACACCCATGTGCTCGGTTTTAAGAAGTATTAGAAGGTGGTCCATTTTGAACTAAGACCGCGTTCTATTACTTTCATGATTCTTAAGCTTATTGCTGGATTCTTCTATAAACATTTCCTCATAAACACTAGGAACTTACTACTGCACATAAATGAAGAAACCATCACGTACACAATGTTTCTTACACAAATCTTGGTGTTCTCTCTTGCAGCTCCAAGGGTGATGGAAAAGTGCAGAAGCAGGAACTAGGAAAAGCCCTTTTATGTGATAATATATGATTTGGGAAAAAATATGTTTTTAAGAAATGTAATAGCCATTTTGTTTTGAAGTATTCTTGTGTTTTGTGTGCTAGGAGTGATGTTTGATCTTTCTTAAAACAGCCTCTACTAAGCTCTAGCTCTAATAAGGCCTCTTCCTCTTACTTCTGTCTCTAATCAATCTAATGAAACATATGGGTTTGTGTATGTGTGTTTGCCAAGGAAGACTTCATAATTCATATGTATAAAAGGTTTGGTAGTGTGTAAACCGGATATGGTTTTTCAATGTTATATATGCCCGGTTAGTTTTTGGATGCAAACTTGACTATAGAAAATATTTTTTCTAGTTCATGAGTTTCCATGAAGTTATATTAATCCTTTCATAGAGCTTGTAGCATTCAAACAAAAAGATTTCAAAGACAAGGGTTTATTACTAAACATGTACAACGGGTTTAAAAGACGCATACCACTTACTAGCGTTTCCACATTTTCATACTAAACATATTTATCTATACTAAAGAACCTAATCCTCAGATTCCTCCTCTTTACGACTTCTATGTACAAACGAAAGTGAAGAAACCCGCAAAGGCTTACCGAGATGGTTGCTTCGTTATGTCTCAATTTTTCTGAAAACTCCAGCTTCTCTTGCTGAGGTTGCTCACTATCCAGCCAAAGTCAAGTAGATTTTGCCCGTATTGTATCTTCACAAGGTAGCTTCTGTATGGAATTAGTATGCTCTTGAGACCTGAGAGCATTCAAGATAGATGGTTTCAAGATATATTATCAAATGGAAACGGCCATTCTCAGATATCACAACCACAATAATAAGGCAGATTATGAAACAATCCCACATTTTCCAGTGTTCACATCACTCATTACATCCAGAGTCATTATATGAGTCCCAAACCACATTAATATAATAACATAAGGACATTGTAAGTTACCTGTTATGCACATTGTTTTGTAAAAGTGAGCAACTTGAGCATCTCCCCTAGTAACTACACGCTTATTTGATTCCAAACACTCGAGAAACGCCATGTCAGCTTTAAGCAACTCTGCCTGGTCATGAGTATCATAACCAATATCATGGCAATAACAGCAATGATCTAACCAATCAATAGGTCTCTGATCCCATACCATCGAACCTCCATCTTTCCCACTAGACCAGTTAGGTCCACAATAATGTCCATATCTCGGGAAAAGCTGTGAAAGAAACGCCCTTGTCCCTGTATGCCATGGAACCTTGGACACATAAGGTCTAAACCGATAAACAGTATTCACACCATTTGATCTTGAAGCTCTCCGAGAAAGGGCATGCCTTTTTAACCCTCTGTTGATAGTAGTGGGTTTCTGCTTTCCATCAGCGGCATTTGTAGCCCAAGGAAGAACTGAAGAAAAGGACCAAGTCCATATCTTTATATCAAATAAGCCTTTCTCTTTCTCTGACTGTTTCAGAAGAAAGGTTGTTGCTTTCCCTTGTTCTGGCTGTTCTAAGAGAGAAGTTGTCGTCGATGTCACGTTTTCAATCATAGCTACATCTTTCTTTGAGCTGATGCTGCCAAACCAAGAAATACTTGGTAACCCAAAATTCATCTGTAAACAACAAAACAGTGCATACAATGACTTCAGCAACCAAGTTTTTACTTTTTCTTGAAAATCTCAAGTTTCTTAAAGATATGAAGAAAGCAATGCAAAGTGATCCAGACAAAATGACAAAGTTTTAATTTTTAAAATTGGGAAAATTTCGAAATTGCGAAAGATCAAACCTCTCAAAACCTAGAATTGAATAGTAAATAAAATAAAATCGGATCTCAAAAAGGAAAATAATAACAGAGAAGGATAATTCGAAAGGGCTTTTGCATTGAGATTGGAATGTTCACGAACCTGAGCTTGAGAGACGCTACGAGAAGAGACAGACACACGTTTTCGTTTTTTTTCCTTAAGCAAATGACAACCTCGGAAACCTTTACTAGTTTACTTTATCTTTCCCTTATTGGGCTCAAAATTTAAATGGGCCGACCGACTTTTTTAGCCCATATGACAACTAAATTTGTGGAGATTGTTTTTTTTGTGTTTTATATTTTGTTTTTAAAAATGCACCTTTATAATGTAAAATAAAATCTCATATTTTCATGAACAAAAAAATTACAGGTTTTGATTAAAAACTAATCAAAAGTGAATACTCAAGATTTTGTCTACAAAACAAAAAAAAGGAAGACTTTTGCTTTAAACTCATGACAAAACAGAGCTCCCTTATATGAAAACTTTACTTTTGTCTCATCAGTTATCTTCTCCAAGAGTAAACTTCACAAACCTTCTGACTTTGATGTTTTCCCCAAGAGTAGCCACAGTTTGTTTCACCAGATCCTTCACCAGAACACTGTCGTCTTTAATGTAAGGCTGCTCAAGCAATGCCCATTCTCCAAGCCTCTTTGAGATTCTTCCTTCAACAATCTTCTCCCTTATGTTCTCTGGTTTCGACAAAAGATCCTCTCTTTGCATCTCAATCTCTTTTTCTTTCTGCTTTATCTCCTCTGGTATGTCCTCTATCGAAACATATTGCACCTGCGTATAGACAGTTCAGGTCAGTGACCACTAACTGGTGTAAGCCATTGTTTCAGCTGAGGACAATTTCTCACCTGGGGATTAGCCACTGCTTGCATTGCAAGATCATCAACCAATTCCTTGAATTTTTCGCTTCTTCCGACAAAATCAGTCTCACAGTTCACTTCTATCAGAACTCCAATCCGAGAATCGTGGATGTATGAGCCGATTCTCCCTTCTGCTGCAAGACGGCTTGATTTTTTATCAGCTGATGAGAGACCCTTCTTTCTGAGGAATTCTTGTGCTTTCTCAAGATCTCCTCCGGTCTCCGCCAATGCCTTCTTGCAATCCATCATTCCAGCTCCAGTCTCTTCACGCAGTTGCTTTACAAGGGCAGCTGAAACCACTGTAGTTGCTGGACTGCAGTGCCATAATGCAAAAAGTTTAAATCTTTCTATAGTCAATATTTCAAGAACTTGTGTCAAGAAGGGAGAAGATTATAAAAAAAACTCTCACCTTGCAACAACTTCCTTGACCTCTTCAGCTTTTGGCTGTTCTTTCTCCTCTTTAGCTTTTGGTTTAGCTGAGGTTTGGGCAGCAACCTCAACAGCAAAGTCCTGGCTTTTCTTTTCAAGGCCTTCTCCGAGAGTGTACCTCACAAATCTCTTCACCTTGATGTTTTCTCCAATGGTTGCAATCCTCTGCTTTACAAGATCCTTCACAATCACCTTATCGTCTTTAATGTATGGTTGCTCAAGCAATGCAAGTGCATCTAGCCTCTTCTTTATCCGACCTTCCACTATCTTCTCTCTTATTTGCTCCGGTTTTGACAAAAGATCTTCCTTTTGCATCTCTATCTCTTTTTCCTTCTTCACAATTTCTTCTGAAACATCTTCTGTTACAAGATACTCTACTTGAGGACAAGCAGCCACCTACATGTCAGGTCAAATTATGTTCTCAGTTATAGCAAAACAAAGAAAATATTTCAGCTAAAAACTTGGTGTTACCTGCATCGCCAGATCATCAACAAGTTCCTTGAAAATGTCGCCACGTGAGACGAAATCAGTCTCACAGTTAACCTCCAAGAGGACACCGATTCTGCTGTCGTGGATATAAGCACCGATTCTTCCCTCGGCTGTGGCTCTGCTTGCTTTCTTATCTGCGCTCGCTAGTCCCTTCTTGCGGAGGTACTCTTGAGCTTTGACCATATCGCCCTCACTCTCTGAAAGAGCATTCTTGCAGTCCATCATTCCTGCCCCTGTTTCTTCTCTCAGCTGCTTCACTAGAGCTGGTGAAATGCCTGTTACATTTTTGTGTTAGGAGATGGAATCTCACATAAACCGTTCGGTCATGAGTCAGGAAGTAAAACAGGTAAAAGATAGACAAAAGAAAGACCTTTGATGCTATCATCTGCAGTAGCGGTGCTGCCACTTTCCTCAGAAGAAGCTTCTGTGACTATAGGTGCAGGAGTCTCGACTTCAGCAACAGGTGTTTCGGCCACCACTTGCTCCTTCTCAACCTCTTCACTTGCTACAGCTTCTGAAGATGAAACTTCATCGGTGGCTGAATTTGGAGGAATAGAGTTCTCAGCAATTTCCTCTTCATCTGGTCACCAGTAGAAGAAAAGGGTCAATGCTATTACACATTAAAACAATGAACTGATTCAATATGATAGAAGGCAATTCAACCTACTTTTGGTTTCTGGAATTGGAGGAACCACCTCCTCAGCTTCAGCTGCTGCAGCAAGTGTTTCCGTTTGCTCTTCTTTTTCTGGCAAATCATCTTCAGCTTTGGTAGCTATCACTTCTTCTTCTTCTACCTTGGGAGTTTCTGATGAGGGAACCTCTTCACTTGTTACTTCAGATGAGACAGATACCGATTCTTCCACTTCACCTGAAGAGACAGAGGTTTTAGCTTCTGGCTCTACTGGGTTCTCAGCAGGTGGCTTCTCTGCCTCTTCCTCTCTCTTTTCAAGAAACGCAGCAATCTCTTCGTTCTTACGGAAAGCAAGCATAAACGGATTTGTGGCTGTATGCACAACCCCTTGAGTAGTTGTTTCATCAAACTTACCATCATCTTCCTCTTTCATTGTTAGAGTAACACGTCCCCTTGCTATCTTCAACACACGAACCTTAACCTCTTGTCCAGCTTGCAACGAAGAGCCACCCATCATCATGCTTCCAATTCCATCATCTGCTTCCTCAGCCGTCGGTAGAAACCCTTCTTCGCCTTCTCCTATCGTTATAAACGCTCCTGACCTCGTTAAATTCTTGACCACTCCATCCAACATCTGCCCTTTCGCAAACTTTGAGTTAAAGCCATCTCCCTTCCTCTGTCCTCCTTTTGAAGCATCCCTTTTCCCTCCTGATCTCGGCTTATCACTACCACCAGACTGACGCTTGGGAGGATCGTCATTCTCACGCATACTTAAAGAAATACGTTTTGACTCAATGTCAGCTTCCACTAGCCTTACCTTCACCTCTTGTCCAATAGTGACAACACTCGAAACATCCTTAACAAAGTTATCACTCAATTGAGAAACATGAACTAATCCATCAGTGAAAGCACCAAAATCAACAAAAGCACCAAAAGGCTGAATCGCTCGTACTTTCCCAGTGAAAGTAGCTCCAGGAACCAGCTCCTCGTTCTTA